AAGACCGAAATCAAAGTCGCGTCTCTTTTCACATCATGAGCTTCCAACTTCCAACTTCCCGCCAGCCAACCGTTGTTGAATCAGGTACGTCCCGGTACACCGTCCCGCCCTGAGCCGCCCAAAGTCCCCTTTTCTTGGTTTAAACTTTCACCTTGAGTCTAGTGCGTATTGATTGACCTCAAACCTCTTCATGATCGTGATACCAAAGAATGAACGGAGAAGATGTATTGCATGCAGATCAAAATACGAGCACAAGATATCCATAGACAGATAGACATCTCCAGGACCCATCACATTTCTCCTGGTTAATGCATACACACACAGCGTGGACCTACACCTAGTCAGGATTATGCAAATCGAAGGAGTCAAGAGTCAAGAGTCAAGAGTCAAGAGTCAAGAGTCAAGTCAAACGATCATTCTTTATTAGAGTTTTTTTGATCCGAGTACTACATCATTTAGTTGGTTACTACCGAAACCGTTTTGCTTTAGATCCATTTCCGAAGTTCATCCGTAGTTGAAATCCCCGGTTTAAGTGAAGGAGGGGCGAAAAAAGAGAGGAAGAGGAAGAGGAAGAGGAAGAGGGAGAAGAAGAAGAGGAAAAAGAGAGGTGTAAATATTAATCGTGACTGGGTACCTACCATCTACCTAGGTAGAGCTACCTGGTAAGTACGAATACGGAGTAGACCGAGGGAAAATATATCCGCCCCCACCTCGACTTCGTGCTTCATATTCATCCATACAACTTCAATGGCGACTCGCGAATACTCCATTCAAATCTTACGAAGCAAACATTTCTTCAGCATCAATGTCGATCATCAATTACAGATTACACCTGGGTCCTGGGCATTCAGGAAAGGAAGACAACTAGCTATCTACTACCAACACACATCTCACATCTCACATCTTTCTCCTTCTCCTTCTCCTTCTCCTTCTCCCGTTCTCAGACTCTGATTCACAGATTTCCAAGTCCAATTCCAAGTCTAATCCCGCGAGGATGCTTCCGTCTACTCTGCTCTGTGATTATACATATTGTGATTATACATATCATGTATATCACACGCACACATATACTCTGTATGTACAAAGTACAAAGTATAGCTTATGATTGATTTCTCCATAGAGGGGCTTCCCTGTTCAACAATGCACCACATATATGCAATCAAGTCCAAGACTATCGCTTCGGCACTTACAAGGCTTATTCTTCAATCATATCCCGATAATGGGTGGGTGGGCATCCATTTGTTTGGCTCATGCTCCTCAAATTCATTCGATTTTGTTTGGTTAATATAATTAGGATGAATGAGAGTCGAGGAATATGACGAGTTTTTTCGTCCAAAGATGGTATGTTTTGACAAATGTGATGAATGATATGATATGATATTCATTTCAAGATAGGTTTTGAGGGTATATGAAAGATAACAGTGGTTGAATGTGTCGAATGCTTGGGCGTGATAGAAGTCGAGATGTCCTCTTTTCCTTTTCTTCCATTTTATCCCCATGATGAAGTTCGGCATACATACACGAGTGTACCTACCTACATACCTACCTACCTACCAACTGTGTTCACGTCCATGTTAAACAAACAACTATCAACCTCGTCTGGCAATACAAAGCGAACTCAAGATTCTGTCAAATATCTATCGCTGATTCATTCACCCATCATGACCCATGTTATCATAAGGATCATAACATGGTTGAAACGGTGATTAATTGATTGGGAGTGGGGATCAAAGAAACAGAGTTTTTAAAGCTAAACTTTGATGATCTTCCTCTATTGGTAAATCTCTGCATGGTCTAACCTTTTCCTGTCATTCAATCCGATGACTCGTTATATAATTGAGCTACCGCCATAAACGTCTTCAAATCTCGAGTACGATGTATTCGGAGGATGAACTCAAGTTGGGTTCGTTTACCCGCTACTTAAGATTAGGTTTCAATTTTGAGGGGATCGAATCACGTGTTGGGATGTTCACTCCAGTGAGAAGGCTAGTTGTCGACTTGTATATATTGTTGCTTATCTATCTACGTGTAGGGGCGAGAGCATACGGGTGAGGTACAAGGAATCTTCTCTTGCTTTTACATTATTTAACAACTCGTTATATCCTTAAAATTAACCCACCGCTACACCACAGGATTAAAAATGAATGTCATTTTGTATAACCACTCGAGTGAGAAGGCTCTTCACTTGCTTGCATATTGTTGCTTACCTATGTGTTCCCATTCCATTTTCCTTCTTTGCTATCCTCGGGATAAACTCTCATAAATGGAGTGCATGATGAGGTACACTCGTTCGCTTCAATCAAGGAACAAACACACTAAGTCACCTCTTTCCCATGCATACGCAATGCAACTCTCCAAATGCCGATCTGATACTCGGGAACTTGACATGCATCAAGTGATCAATGTGAATTCTTGGCATCATGCCATTTAATCTACCGATATCGCATAGAGAGAAGTATGTAAAAAATGTGTGTGTGATTCATGGTATGATCTTCGTAGGGTTTCTGTCGCGGGTGGCTGGAGATGGAGAAGGGCTATTTTGGGTTACCCTGGTGGGTGGTATGTTTGATACCGGATGTGGAGGGTGTACGTTTCATGTGTCGTGCTGACCATGTGAGCTTATGGCTTATGGATTATGGCTCTGATTATTGATACCATTGGTGAATGGCTCACAATCGAACGCCATTGAGAATTAGTCCATCTCACGCCTTTGCTTTTCAGAATCACGAACAGTTCTATCTCATCCGCGAATGGATGATCAATACTTGTATCACCATAAGCTATTCGTCCCACCAAGCCATGATATCTCGTGGTATTCACTAAACACGATTACTCGTCTTCTTTCACTCCATGCTCAATGCCGCGCTCGACATTTGATGCTCCAGTCGCAATTTCTTTTCGATTTTCTGTCAGAAGCATATCATGCTAATGAGCTTGTTAATACACTATAGTCTATAGCGACGCCGAGTGGCGGGTTAAAGTGCGATGATGAATAGCAGGAGGTAGAAATGGTATATTTTAGACGCATGGAGATGGAGGAGGAATTTCTGCTGTGTCCGCATTTGCTTTTTTTTTTTTGTTAAACGCGTATTGTGATTCTCGGAAAGCAGAATAAATAATAATCGAGTGATTTCTTTGTGCTTCGTTCTCATTTGGTCCAACTATGTTGATTAGCTTCTAAAACAATTCCAGGCAGTAGAGTGAGATTTCTATGTGTTTGGTGTCGTGGAACAACATTTCTAGATTGCCACTATACCATTCTGACTAGTATTTACCTTGACTTCTCGAGCCCCGTCGAGGAACTAATGGAAGAATTGTTTCCTAGATGAATCGTCAGAGATGAGCAGGAGTGTGAAATGCTATTTTCTGTATGATATTAAAGGTTCCGGTACGTTTGATATCATTTATAGATGCAATAAGCTACTGTCTCGTGCTCTGCCAAGAGAAAACTTTCTGGTATATTTTCTTCGTCTATAATTTCTATGTCTACTTATTCTTTATTAACGTGATCACACGACTGACATACGTTTCCTACATGAGAAGGCAATTGAAGATTAAGGAGCCTCTCATTCTCTAAACACAAATTCTGATAGCTAGGCTCTAGAAACGTCATAGAAAATCTGGAAAGATTCAGTGGTTCAATTGTTCATACAGATGAAAGCTCCTAACTGTGACTCATCGGCTACGAAGGTATTTTCATCCTACTTGGGGCAAAATCTTATTTAGTTAATTCTATTCATTTCTTGCAACGTGGGCCGCGAATGGTTATGCTGGTCATGCAACATTGTTTTCTAGAATAACAAGCCATTTTCCGGGAAATTGAGATTCGATGAATTATTGCATATACCGCGGTGAAAAGCCTGAAATGTGCAATCAAGGGTGCCTGACAGACGTAGTGGAAGTAACCCTCTACCTGAAACACAGCTCAGTCAATATTCACAGTCCACATCACAATCTCGTTGCTGATCCCAACGCGTCTAATCCTGAGCGCAGGATCGAGTCGTTTTCCGGATCTCCCAATGGAAAGAATATGCGGCGACGAAAAACATTCAGGGGGTATTTATGTTCTTCTCTCTCGGTTCGCGTGGATACGCAGAAAAAGCAACGGCGTATTTGGAGTTGAGTCTTGCGATCGCGAAGACGTTGTGGTATTTTGATTTTGAAAGACTGAGGGATTTGAAGATTGTTGGGGTAGAGGGAGGGAAGGATGGGATAGAGTTAGGGGAGGGAAGTAGATGGAGCCTCAGTTGAAACATTAGTTTCCTACTGTGCATGATGCTACAGACTTGGTGTTTGGGGCGGGAGGGAAGAGCGGAGGGAGTTGAGAAAAGTGGATGTTTGGGATAAAAATTGGAGAGCAAGCAGGGTGAGAGGCAGAGGATAGTTTAATATTTTGGGATAATGAATGAACGAATGAATGATGATAGGAAGATCTTCTGATTCGTGGGTGTTGGCATTGATGTATACTAATTCCACAACAAACAGTTTTGATAGCAGGACCGAGTAGCTCAGAAGTACAGAAGTAATACCAGTTTCCTAAACGTGACTCTTCTTGGGAGTTTCCTTTTAATTCTAAGATACGCCCTGGAGTTATTCTCATCATTAACGGATTTTTTTGGAAATCTTCTTGTGGTCTCAATAGGGATATCAGACAGGAGCAAGCGACAACAGCCTGTGCCCAACCGACTAGAGGTTCCAAATCTGTGTAGGGCTTAAGATATTAATGGTACTGTCGGATAGGTAGATTGTTCTGGAACCCGTCTTTAGAATTATATCCAAGTAAATATAATGAAAAGAGATCTAGGCATGTCTAGCCACAAAGTCACAGTTCTAGATCAATACCCATGTAACCAGTCAGCATATAAACACATCATGTTCAGATCACGTGTACGTAATTGTACATACACCCGCACATGGATAGCAGGGGGGCTGAGTTGAGCTGCGCATCTTCGACAAACAGGACAGGATGTGATTCCAGATATTTTCCCTTTCTTTCCAAGATGACTCCTTACCATGTAGACACAAGTTTGCAGTTTGGGCTCCATCATTATGAACTTCTAAGTTCTAGTGTCAAATATATACATCCACTCCAGTTCTCGTCAGATACGTCTCCAATATGGCACGAGTATCTTCCGCAGTCATCTCAATGAACCACCTTGGAAACAGTATCCCAAACATCTCTGCAGCCGTGAAGCCAAACGTGCGGCCGGAGGTCTCGAGTTGGGGAGCTGGAACTCTTACAACTCAAAATGCTACCTCTATACCACAAGAATAACCACAACCGCAAACACCTGTGACTTCGAGCAGCACCATAGGTATAAATAGCATTCATACCCACACGGTTATTCAAAATCAAAGACCCAATAATCTCGGGCAGCAAAGTGTACAAATCAAGGTCAGCCATCACCTCCGCAATCGATAGGATATGAATTCGCTCCACCATGCGGATGCACAGCCAACGTCTGCTGTCAACAGCATGCACCCGTCTCGAATATCAATCCCGTTGTTGAGCGTGTGAAATCTCTTGCTTGCTGGGACTGCGGGCCTGTTGGAACTATTATTGCTGCTGGTACTTTCGCTATTGGTACCGTCGGTTCATATTTTACTATAAAATTGGCGATTTGGACTGCTACCAAAGACTATATCAGACATTGTCAGGCAGATGAGGTATATCTATGCTAGTACATCTTCAGGAGGCACAACGAGCGACTGTTCAATGTAGGAAAGCAACTGGGCAAGCCCTTTCTCATCCTCCTTTCTTCAAGCGCGGTCCTACAAACGACACTCTCGTTCGTCAAACACTAGGTGGAACACTACCAGGGTTCACGGAGTACTTCGCCCTCGACAGTTATGATCTTTTCATCTATTTGCTACTGGGACAAACGCTTTATGCGTTGGTCTCATCTGCGATACGTTATTTTGCATGGAAATCGCGCGGTCATCGATACAATTCGGTACCATCTGCCAGAAATTCACTTCCGATATCCACATATAGCCACAAACCTGAGCCCACGCAAGGTACAACTTCAACATTAGTAAACAACGAGGGTAAAAACACAACGAATATAAGACGCCGAGGTCACAATAGCCATGATTTGAACTCAATGTTCCCTCTACTTCAAGAGAATGAAATGTGTAGCATGAAAAGAGATAGAACTTTGCTCGAAAATCATTGGCATTTCGGTTCACCAAGGAACCTATGAACCTTCCTTGGAAGGCGGGTAATAGGAGGAAGCTAGCCTTCCATGCGGATGATAAGCTTATGCTTGATGGGATCTGGAATGACACAGAGTTATCATTAAGGAAACAAACTCAGATTCATGAATTGGTGCATAGCAACATCAGAAGTCTTCTTGAACTTTACAGATTGGAGATTTCTGCTTGTACTGGGAATGCAAGACGTATCTCATTGGTTGATATGCTATTCATTTCTCCTCTAAAAGATATTCTCATATCTTTTCCGTGGGAGACCGACACTATCAGACTCATCATCGAGAAACTAGTGAGGGATAAGGATGCTGAAAGATTTGTGACATTCTGCGAGAGAAACACATCGGAGCTGCGGGAAGATACCAAGAAAACTATTTTATCTTGTCTCGATACTCTCAGATTCACTGGAGTTGATGCTGGAGGCAAGCTCATCGCTTTGACTCATATCCTAGGCAGCCTGTATATTGCTGAATTCTCTCGAGACACTTACAGCTGGAGTGACATACTGCAAGATATAGAAGAAACATTCACTGTAGCTGTTGTTACAAACACATGTCTCTCATCGCGGCCTCCCCTGGAAGGCAAACGATGTGCCAATGGCGCCAACAGTAGTGAAGGTTCATTAACTCTGGCAACTCGGATTGCTACTAGGATAGGCACCTCAAATTCATCATCGAAGGACCTGACTCTATTGAAGAATAATGGCGAGAATTATCACCTAGCACATGGAGCTAATCCCCTTGAACCTTTCATTGGGCCTGGTAGTAAGAGTCACCTGAAACTCCCTGAATCATTTCTAGAGGAAGGGAGGGCTCGTGCATTGACCGCCAAATGGACTAGAAATCAACGGCAATGGGGTTGTTGTAATGTTCCCAGGATCAAAATGTAATGTTTTTAGAATGTCTGGATAACAACGACCAAAATGATGACAGTCAATTCGATACCACATATATATTCGGCGACAATCCAAGAGATTTTGAGAACCTGAAGAGCAAAAAGGACGAATGAAGCTCGGAAGGCAATAATCTGAAAGGCAATGATAAAATCGATGCCCAGATACTTCCATATCTTTCAGTCAGTATAGAATCTATTGAGCCTTGAAGACATGCTGTCACTAGTTGTACGATTTAAGCTTGATTTGATCAATCATCATTATTGATGCATGGGCACTGTCTCCCAAAAGTCAAACCAAAAATCAGAGTTCCGCACAAAAAAAAGAGATACAAGAATCGGGTAATTCCGACTCAAGTTGAGAAACCCCGAGAGCATTCAATGGCCGAAACCATCGAATAATCACTCTGTAAACCCAGGGTTTCTTCCATAAGCGCTGTTCGACTTCGAGATCTTATTCTACAGAAGCGAAACTAAGGAAGCGTGACCACACCGTCTCAAGATTAATCAAGTATGTTAGATCGCTCAAGAGGGGTTACCCGTCCACATGGACACACGAGGTGAAGGAGAGATAAATCCCGCATGCCAACACCAACGGATGTGCGATTAAGCCGCAGTGATATTACCACTACGCCATACAGCAACCTCGCAATTTTGTTGCTTGCGACTTATTTAATCATAAATAGGCGAGGTCGGTACGGTAAGAGAGGTTTGCATCGTTTGGCTCGAGTTTGTTCTGTTTGGCGAGGTGGTTGAAAGTGAGATATTCGCTGGTTTATTTTCGAGATCAACAAGCTTGCGACCTGTGGAATATGTTTTGGTGGGAAACGAGTGAAGCATCAGACGAGAGTGAAGTTTGGAATTTGAAGCATTCGGTTGATAGTGAATGATTCGAATGGAGGTGGCGGGTTTGCGACGATGCGTGCGGCGACCATGTTCACGTGTCATTTTGATAGGTGAATCACTCTGCGACTGATAGAATACCTAAGAGGTATGGATGCACAATATCATTGTCTTCATTATCAGAGAGAGTAGCTAATTAATACATAGAGTATCATTAGAGAGAAACCATGCGGACATGTCCAGTGGGGCACACCTGAAAGTAATACCTCGAAGGTCTTGAACAGTATTCTCTCGAGAACGCATGAATATCTGTTCCACTACCATGGCCCTGAGATTGAGAAAACTTGTTGATGTCGACACACCATATATTAAAAATCCGTTCCTTGACCTCGAATCTTGAAGTCTTTGAAACTATGGATACACAATCAAAGAACATTCAGCAACCAGATTGAAGCAATAGAAACACTCGAGGAGAAACGCAAGAACTATGAAAGGATTTAAATGGACTCAAAATAAAAACTCGGCACTGATAAGATACGAGAAGAAGAATTGTGGTAAAGTTCTTAGTCTCTCTCACCTACTACTTTCTACACAATTCCCCAACTGAGAAAGAATGACTCCCAAATTCCTTCCCACTAAGAAAGCTGATCATCGAACCACGATACGCACGCTTTAATACAAACCCAAAGCCAAAGAATCTAGAGTATCACACATAGTCCAGTATCTTCCTAAAAAACAATAAGAATATTCCAAGAGAACACTGACTTCATGAGCATCGTAGTATACAGTATATACCCCTCGGCTAAGCTCTAGACCCATAAGTCTTTTAGCTTGAACACCCAGGGAAACAAAGAACTTGTATGGGAAATCAGTTATCTTGATCGTCATTCGATATCATTGAACTACTCACTCCTCCAGTTCAAGAGATAATCTACGGCATAATGATAGAACACACATCTAGCTGCCTCGCCGCTTCTCACTCCCGGTCAAGTATCTTCTCAACATCATCAAACACACTAACACATCATCTCAAAGCCACCCTGACTCCCCTCTCAAAAGCAAAAAATTTGATTACGTATCTCCCATTCAAACCTTTCATTTGCCCATCCGACTTTCCCCCCAATCCACCCTAATTTTCACCCCTCCAAACCTCTCCCCTCTCCCCTCTCCCCTCTCCCCCTTTCTATCTATGTATCACCTTTCCAACACTAGCCCATTTCCAGCTTTACATCTCCATCCCTCATAACCACCATCTCACTCAATACGAGTCAATCCTCTGCTTCCTTTCCAGAAACCTTATCTCCATCCATCTCTACAAATAGTACCCCCTTCCTTCAAATCCCGGACATATCCAAACAACACGCTGGATATCTTCATGTCTCCATCGCCCAGAAGAAATATATGTTCAATATACTGAATCAACCAAAGATTTCTTCTCATTAGAAATCGAATCATATGATCATAACGACCGCGCAGATCACACCACCGTTAGTGCGGTCTCGGACCTAGTACGCGAATTAAAATTCATTTGGATCTTGTGCGGATTCCGTTCGAGTGTTGAAATTTATTTTTAGATTTACTAAAAAGAAAGTCAACCTCGATACTAATTATTTGAATAGAAGAAGTTATCATCATTAAAAGTCTATAGTTATGTTCCGGTCTTTGGTCTTCCTTCATGGTTGGTAGTGAGTCTAATCATGCTCTAGCATTCCCACTTCCCTTGAATCCCCGTGCGATATCCATACTAAACAGTCCATCGCTAATTAATATTCCAAATTTTCTCATTCTTACTCCTCCTCTCCTCTCCTTCTCGCCCCCTGCAGATGTAGGCATAAATTCCACCTTCATCTTTCTAATAATCCCCCCAAAATTCATCGAAACCAACTCCACCTTTCCACCCCGCCTAGCACCTACTCCCCTATCTTCGCCACCCGTAACCCCTCTAATCATCAATAAACCCAATCTCCCTTTCAGTTTCCTCCTGTTTCCAGATACCAAGCTCCCCGAACTATCCGTACTATCCGTTCCAACTCTTCTCGCTCTCGCATGGAAATGATTTGCCATTGCCGTTTGGCCGCGCTTACGAACTTTATTTGCATTACCGACAGAAGTAGAATTTGGACATGAATATGGTTCATCGGAACTTTCTGGTTCGATCTCAACGGCCTCATCATTGTCCTCCCCTTGACTGCTATGAACCGATCTACATGCAACATAAATCGAGCCTAGTTTTTCAGCAATTTCTGGGTTGAAGACCTGGCCCCCATTTTCATCCTCAGTCTCATCATCATCCTTCTTCTCTTCTCCATCTGCAGAGGTCTCTTTGAAAGATCCTGGTCTCTCCCTTTCTTTTCCAGAGTTTGAACATGTCAACACAGCACCAGAATCAATTTCACTAGCTACGCTTTCGAGGTGACCCATAGCCACAACAACTTTATTTGGGCCCCTGATTTCATAGCCAGATCCACATCTCCCCTCAATTTTGCGAGCATTTGAAAAGGCCAGTGAAGAAGCCACATCAGCACCATCAGCCGCACTAGACTTGACCATCTTTTGTAAACTCCTGCTTCGATGCCCAGAATCAGATATTCTATCAGTTCTGACTCCAAGCAATGTGCTAACTGGAGACCTAGCTCTCAAAGTATTTTCAGATGCAGTGTCAGAATCCACAGATCGGATATCGTTGGGGCTAGAAATAATAGAAACAGGTCCCGCAACCGAAGGCTCTGGATCGTTTCTTGCCGGCTCAGGTAGTTTAAAAAGACCAAATGGAATTGAAGCTGAGCTACGAGCTCTTCGAAGTGCCTTTCGAACTGTGCTACTATATGGGATTTCCTCTGAGTTTGCCTCTTCGGTGCTGTGCTCTCCACTGTGATCTCCTAATGAAAACTTTTCTCTCAAGGATTGTTTTGATACTGAATGGATAAGTGGTCTAAGTTTTCGTTTTATTCGGTTAAGCGTGGGAAAACGTGGAATCTCCGAATCACTTCCTTCACTCATAGGGAAGGAGAAAATCGTACCAGAAGTATTTTCTTGTCTTGATGCACGTTTAGATATAGTTGTAGATGATTTTTGAAGAAACCGATCGCCACTTTGTGATGATGAAGAGTGGTTGTTACCAAGAGTCGTAGAGCTATTTGACACGAAACGTGAAGTATTTTGTGCTGGAATAGGTTCTGATCCTCTGCGTCGGGAGCTGAATAGAGATTTCGTGGCAGACCACGTTGGTTTCCATCTCTCCTCGGTTTGCTTGAAACTAGTGATGGCTCCGGTACGCAATAGATTATCTTCTGCACCAGAGCCGCCACGCAAGCTGACTTTTCTTCGACTGTGAGCATCAGCCTCAGGGTTATTGGTGAGATATTCATGAGTGAAACCAGAATCGCCATTTGAAAAGTTATAGCACGAGGGTGCGGAGGCAAGATCCCGTAGTTCAATCTCATCAAGAATGATAGATTCATGACCTTCTTCACATTTTTTGATGGTTATTTTAGTAAAAGTATTCATAGGTATGGTAGAAGTAGCAGGCGAATCAACCCTTTCCGCAGCTTGAGGCATGAGAGGTCTAGCAGTAGAATCGCTGATAGCAGAATGACTTCGGGAAGTTCTGTTGCTCCTGCTTCGATCGTCAGCTCCATCCACAAATCGCAGAGCTCCTGGCCACACAGGAGCTGCTTGCATTGTTGCGCCAGGATTGGTGCGACGATTGGATTTTATATAGCGCCCAATGTCATCCGTGCAACAGCAGAAACTCATTAGAATCATAAAGCAAACGCATACTGCTATTATATACATAAGCTGGTATGGAGTGACTGCAAGTCGTCCGAACTGTGGAAAATTCGAATGTACATTCGTAGATGGTTCGCTTTGAACGTGTGTAGGTGTCGGATCTGCGACGGCCAGTTGAATGTTCGACGGTTCTCTGTACAATAAAGAGGTTATGAGTGTCTGAATAGGTGCTAAGGTAGAAGTTTTCGTGGTTGTTATGGCTGGTAAGGCGATCGAACTTCTCCTCGTACTCGAAGAAATCGATGTTGTCAAAGTGTTTTGCACATGCTCGTGACTTGCTACGATAGTAGATGTAACGAACTCCGGAGCCAATCCTATTGGATCTTGTAAGAATCGAAGAATAGCCATGTTGTCTTTGTTTATTGT